AAGAGCTAGTATCATATTTTGGGAGTAGGATTGAGCACCGATATGTGGGAGGGTTCAAACAACTCACAGCCCCCATAAACCATGTAGCCATCATGAGTAGAAAAGGGTCATACTTTTTAGATGATTCCTTAGTGCTTTCAGCATAGACTAGTGGATCCACTTAGTAGTAAGGTTCTATACCCTAGGCATGGTATAGGATGACACTGACAGCGTAAGGCAAAACGTTGTATCATCACAATAGCTCTTAAGTGATGGTTATCAGTTAGAGAAACTCTCCTAGAAGTATTTGTATTCTTATATACACAGTTTAATTGTATTTTTACATACATTTCAGAGTTATATTGTATCTTTGCATACACACAAAGTATTATTGTATTTCCAAATACACAGAGTTGACATCCATGTTTTAAAAAGATTTTCCTTATATTGCAATTGTTTTATACTACTTTATATTGAAATGAGTTCAGTTAAGTGGAGTTGAGTTGATCCAGGTAAGTTCTTCAGTTCCTTTCACGCTTCTGTCTTGTTTTAGAATTCCCCTCGCATACTCGTACATTCAATGTACTGATGCCATTTGGCCTACATCTTTTAATGATATAGATACAGGTAACCAGGATCAGCATCCAGTGCATCGTTGATTCTAGTTGAGCTCCAGACTTGTTGGTGAGCTTCCTTGATTCCAGAGGATCCTTTTTATTATTTTTAGTAGTTTTAGTTGCATTAGGATGTCGTGGGTCTTGTCCCGACATCCATCTAAGTTGTTTAAAGGCTTCATAGACAGACATATGTTAGTTCTTGAGTTTTCTATTTCCTGTTTTAATGGTTGAGACTTGAGTTGGCATTTTGGCTAATATTTCTTAAAGACATTTGCATGAGTTATCCTTTGAGATTATTTCTTGTGTTTAAGACTTCCGCTGAGTAAGTAAGTCAGGACAAGGGTTCACTTGGAGCCAACAATGGTTCTCGAGTGCCAGTCCCGCCCAGGATGTAGGCTTGGGGCGTGACATTTAATATGAAAAAAAAGTAGTAATTAGATCCTGTCAGTGAAGTAGTTAAACTAATATGAGAAAGTAGTCAAAGTATTTAGATTTCTATGATTAAATATATAATGAAATTTATTATGTTAAAGAAGGAAGATAGTAATTAGATTTCAATGGCTAAATTTGGAACAAAATTTAATGATGGTAAAATGAATTATGGTAACAGAAATGAATGATATTAACAATGAGGGAGTTTCTCCTTTGTCTATTTAAAGAAACAAATTGCTTTTGTTGAAACCTAAAAATGGATGAATGTGTGGTTATTTTCCTGGAAGATGTAGTGAAGGAGATTCTATTAAGGTGTCCTGTTAAGTAATTGTTGCGATTCAAATGTATCCACAAGAATCGGTACGCTTTTATCAAAACCCCTGAATTCGTTCAACAACACTTGAACTATAGCAAGAATAATCCCCCACAACTCCTGCTTTATAATTCTGATAACCTTCTTGATGATCATGACTCCCGTTCCCTAACTTTACTTTCTGAAGATAATCCCCAAACCATCAAAGGTATGATGTACCTTTTAGGTTCTATGGACGGCTTGTTTTTTATGACTGGGGTAATTGATCATATGCGTTCGTGTGCATTGTCGAATCCTGCTACTAGGGAGATGAGACCCCTCCATCTCCCTCCACCCATAATCAATCATTACCCTGTGTTTGGGTTGGGATTGGACCCCTTGACTAATGACTATAAAGTGGTTTACTGTTTCCGTGAAAATGCAGCAGCGATCTATTCTTGTTCTAGGGACTCATGGAGAATTTTCTAACCTAAAAAACCACTACCCTTATTTATAGACGTGAAACATACATTTGGTACTGCCTATTTGAATGGAGCTAATTATTGGTTGCTAAATGGAGGCAGCCGTACTGACTACTCCATTCTTTCATTCGACTTTGCGAGTAAAATATTTGAAGAGATTGAAAGGCCTGATTGTCACTTTGTTCATAGTTCTGTGTTGGGTATGATGTTGCTTGATGATTACATTGCCATCTTGAACTCGAACATAGATGAAAGATTTTCTTATGATATATGGTTAATGATCCAACTAGGGATATGGAACAAACTTGTTACCTTTCAATGCTTCCCTAAAATTAAGTCGTGTTATGATAGCTCTCTCATTTTGGCAACTGAAGTTTCTTGACTGGTCTCCTATAATGTTTTGACTAACAAGACGAGGCATCATAGATTTCAACATTCTTGCTTGACAAAACATCCACTTTATGGTGGTTGTGGGGTTTATTTATTATAAGGAGAGCTTAGTGACAATTAAACAACAAGAGGATGGAGAGTTGGACCATTGAACGAGTGCATCAGATCAGATGATATGTAACCAAATCATTTTATTGTAATTGAGATTATAATCATGATCACTCTACTTCATAGTTCTATTTTATGCATAAAGTGCTTGTAATTGAGTTTATAAGCATGTAAAATTGCTTGAGCAGATGATATATCTATAACACATTTTCTAAACTGGCCTACTTGTTCTATTTTCCGTTATGGGGTCTTTGGATCTGTAAATTTGATGCTTGCTCTAAATTAAAGGTGTGAGTTATATCAATTTTCTTGCTGCAGGATGTATTGCTTTGTAGAATTAGGTTGTCAAGGAGTTCTATTGACAAGTAGGAATGGCAATAGGGTGGGTTAGTTCTGTGACAAGAAAAAGTTTTAAAAGCTTTACCGCTAATATATGATTCTTATCTTTGCTATTTCAATTTTGATACCATCCATGTTGTTGTTACCATAGGTAATTTTACCGTTTCATTTATCATTTTGGATCAACACCATATATGTTACTGTGTTACAATAGGTAATTGATCAGCCATCTTGTTTCCTTCCCTGTAAATGTGAACTATCATTGGTTTTTCGTTCAAATGATAGTTCCTAACCTCAAAATTAGGTAACTCTTTTACCCTACATTAAATTAAAGGTGTGAGTTATATAAATTTGATTGCTGCAGACAATGGGGCGGTGCGGGGTAAGGCGGGTTGAGCTTAACCCGTAAAAAATTTAATCTGCCCCGCATAACATTTTTTTTCATTTTCAACCCCCCCCCCCCCCCCGCATAGACCCGCTCCGCATGAACCGCGCCCCGCATAATTTTTTAATATTTTCTTTTTCTAGTTAAGTTTGATACTAAAAATAAAATTTATAAAAATAAATTCATTTTTTCATTAAGTTGTATTAATTTAATAGGATAGTGACTTAAAATTTTATTTTTTTAATGGTAAATTGGGAAACATGTAAGAAATTGAATTATTTTTTATTGAACCATTTTCATTATATTATCTTGTATATTTTAATAGCTTTAAAGAAATTATCTTAGTAAATAATGCTCAATCACTCTTATAGCATGAAAAAAATTAAAATTAAGTTTAAACACACATAATACCCGCAACCCGTCCTGCATTAGTTTTAAAAAAACTCGCTTCAACCCCGTTGCATCCCACACGCCCCGCACAATCTTAAACCCACCGCATAGCCTTAAACCTGCCCCACCCCTCATCTGCCCTGCTTGATTGCCATCCCTAAATGCAAGATGTATTGCTTTGTAGAATCTTTTCAATTACAATACTTTAAAATTCAATAAGAAGGAATCTGTTTCATACTTTCAATAATAAGGAACTTCACAGGTCTTCTAGATGATATTTTCAATAACAAGGAGTCTGTTTCAATCACAATACTTTAAAATTGTTATAAAATATATTTGTTAAAAAACATCCAGCCATACTAGTTTTTATAGTTCTATCGAACTGATGATCTTTATTCTTCAATGTTATCTAATCTATAAATGAGATTCAATAAATTCATACTACAACAAAGTGTACACTTCTAATAACGTTTTTTCTTTAGTTTGCAAGAACTTAATTATTTGTCCAGTTACTAAAAATATGCGTCCCAAATTATGTTGTCTTTCTTTTACCCCCTCTGTCCCAGTTTTTTATTATTATATATATATATATATAGTATATTATTATTACCTTAAATTAAAAGCACCAACTCCTAACTTAATGGTAAATTACTAAATAACCCCTATTCCATCCTACACCACCCACACTATATACACCCATTCGCATAAGCCACCACTTCCCCCAGTTGAACTTTTAGCACGGCCGTTCGTACGCTATACACAACCATTCCGAAACGCCACCACTTCCAAACCTTTAACATTGAACAAACACGTCCGCCGTGAATTATCAAACAGTCGCAACCCATCACTTCCCACAGTATAAAACTCGGGAACTCAATTGCTTCTCCCCATCTAACATATTTTACGATTAACGCACAGGTTTGCAGCGACACACCCTCTCCTTCACAATATTTCCTTAATAAATCTATCAGTTTCCTTCACCCTTTAATTTGGTTTTCCTGCATGCAGATAAGTTGCAACTGCATCATCTAGCTCTCTGGCTTGCTTTTAGACAAGCTGTAAGTGAATCCCTTTTCTATTTTATCTAGTTAATACTTTAAACTTACATGAGCATGACTACTTGGCACCATACAATTTCTCATGACATTCTGCAAGTACGCAGTGTGAAACACATTCCACAATGAATAATGGCTACAAGAACAATCTATTCATTCGCTTTGTTTCTCCCCCTTGCTGCAACAATACGACTGACTATAGTTTGTTCGCTTACATATATATAATTCCTTGCCAGTTGCAACTATAAAATTACTATATTTGGGATACTTCAAACCTTTGGATTGGCCTCTTTACATCTTATTACTTTCTAAGTTGCGCGGACTCTTCACTTTCGATGCCGCACCCGTGTCAGATTCTCCAAAAATACACTACTTTTGTCGAATCCGACACGCACCCCTTGACATTTTTGAAGAGTCCGAGCAACATAGATTACTGTTAACATATGTTCATATATATGTTAGTGCTAACCTTTTGTTTCTCGCACATTACATCTTACTGCTAACATCTTAATTGCATGAATTTTCCGCCAAATGTTGCAGACTATTACCAGACGCTGCCCTCATCAATCGTGCCCATACACATTTACGCCCAATGTTAACATTGTTGCACTCATTTCCCCAGGTACCTACATTCATCCAGATACAACCCAAATGGCGACTGAAACGGAACTAGCAAAACAGAGTGTATTGATAAACAATATACCAAAAAACTCTGTAGATTCGGTGATGCGGGTCTTAGTTATTCGAAGGGGTTCAATAATACCTTACAAGAATTCAAGTCATGAAGGAACTTTCCGAACTATAATATTAGTTGCTGAAGAGGTAACAACATTGACACTTTTACTTACCTTATTTTACAATGGTTCTTGTTTGTTGAATTTATTCCACCCCTCCGCTGCTTAATAATAGGGGACAAAGATTCAAGCAACACTATTTAATAAGCATATCGAGACATGGAAGAACTCCTTGAATCCAAATAAGAGTTACTACATTGCCAAAGGGCGCTTAGATCGCGTCAATCCCAACTACTCTTCTGTGCACAAAGAAGTTGAATTGGCCTTTACAGACAATACAGTCATAAAGGAGACTGAGCACGCGGTTTCAACTCACAAATTCTCTGATGGCTTTTTATCATTGGAACATGCTGATAAATTACCTAATGGTGCTATTCTAGGTAACTATCCACACGACTAAGCTATAATTTTTATGCCCTATTACGTTATTCTAATATCTAATTTACATGATCTATTTCCAGACTTGATTTGCGTCTTAGTTTCAGTGAATCCCCTCATTCTAAATGAAAATTCCAAAAGATGGGAAATAGTTGATACAAATCAGCTGTAAGTTGTAATGATGCTTAGTCTACCATGTGTATATAGATAAGGTGATATATTGACTATTCACTTCTAACGATTAATCCAACATGGAGCATACAACTGTCACTCTATGGGGGAGATTTTGCTAAAAATGACGGTGCATTCCTTGAAAAGTTGCAAGATGATAAGCCTATACTGGCCTTATGTGACATCAGAGTGTCAATCTATAAAGGTATCGATAGTGTATTGTAGCTAATTATCAACTATAAGCTGGCTATAGTCATTGTTTCTAAACGTTATAATGCTTTAGTCACTCTAAGCCGATTTGGGATCTCTATTTCCAATGTTCCAAAAAGTAAACGACCTTCGAGCATGGTACATTACATAATTCACAAATATATTCTCCATTGTTACTTTAACCAAACTATCACAATTGCCAAGTTTAAGTGAACATTGCTATAACAGGACATATTTCCTCTATTATGATTGTTCCGAACATACATATTAATATCACCAAAGAATTGACAATAGTATACACCGTATTGACCTCACTCTAAATGGGTGATACAGCTAACTAACCACATCGCAAATACATGAACTCTTCCCTATCCCTCAGTTTCTCTTCCTCAACCTGTTGAACATGTACCATTAACCTCGATATATCCATGTCCCCAATTAGCATCGCTTCCTTGCCCTCTTTGATTGATAGACGGGACAGCCCAACCACAAATAACTAATTCTACTCCTCATATCCGCAACCATCTTCGAAGCATAACGAGATAGTTGGGTAAACTTCAACCCATACTCATTAACACTTAGGGAATCTTGCTTAAGTGTAAGAAACTCTCGTACCTTAGCCTCTTTCAGTTCTCGGGGGAAGAAACGCCCCAAGAAAGCTTCCTCAAAACATGCCCAACTCCCAGGTGGTGTTTCCTCAGCTCTACCCTTCTTCTTCCACTAGTCAAACCAAGTCCTAGAAACATTCTTCAGTTGATATGCAGCTAGTTCAACTCGCTCAATATCGGCAACGTGCATCACATCAAATACCTTTTGCAGTTCCTCAATTAAGTTCTCTGGATCCTCAGTAGTGCTTGAAACAGTGAAACTTAGAGGATTCATCCTTAAGAACTCACGAATCCTCGAAGCCTCTTCTTGTCAAGCCCCTCTTTGTTGCCCAACCTGGTTAGTCACAACTCGACTTAGCATCCTTATCCCTTACCTGAACTCAACATTAGTAATTTCTCCTTGGGGTTGCACTTCAGGTGCATCGGGTACCCCTTGCACCTCAACATTATGTGTAGAAAGATGACCTCTGAAAACTCTTCGTGGAGGCATGATTATCTAAAAACATGCGCAAGCACGAATTAGAAAGAAACTTTTTAGAGATCAAACTCTAACGCACGAGATGAGTATGAAAGAAATGAGAAATTTCCTAAGTGTTGCAGCCTCCTAATCATAGATGTGGCGCGCTTCACACCGATAACTAGGACTCTACAGAAACGGCTTCATAGATTTCCTAGGACTCTTGAACTCTGTGCTCTGATACCAAGTTTGTCATGCCCGGAGCCTACACCCTGGGTGAGACTGACACTCGAGAACTATTGTTGGCCCAAGCGAACCCTTGACCTGGCTTACTTACTCGGCGGAAGACTCTAAGCATTATTACAATGATCAAATGCACTTACTCAATTATTTAATAAAATAACTTAGAAAGTTTAAAAGTTAACATTCAACTTGGCAAAAATGGCAACTCAAGTCTTAACATATGAAATGATAATGTAAAGACAACTAAACTACTAACTTTTGTGAAGCCTCTAAAACAACGAGGGATGACGGGACAGGACCGCCGATCATCCTAACAACTGAAAAGCTAAACAATTATGAAAATGACACTTTGAAAAGCAAGGAGGCTCACCACCTGACTCTGAGTGCTCAACCTGATCAATGAGGCGCTGGATGTTGATCCTGGTTACCTACGTCTGCATCATAATATGATGCAGGCTAACTGGCATCAGTACATTGAATGTACGAGTATGCGAGTTGGAATGCTACACATAACATAGGCTTGAAAAGAATCTAAAAGAAACACTTACCTTGGCTCTTCTCAACTCATGAATAACTTAACTAAAATTCAAAGTAAACAACAATAATAGTGCATTTATACAAAGCATTTAAAACAGTAGTAGCAACTCAATTTGTTAAAGAAATGCAATAATAACCTAGTTTACTTGTAAAGTAATATAATACTATGGGAGCTTCTTTAATCGACAACTACCACTATGAGCCTAAGTGGTGATACAACATATTGCCCATGTTGCCAGAGCTGTCATATACTTTGCCGTCATATAGAACGCCTTAACTAAGTGGATCTACTAGTCTATGCTAAAAAAGCACCTAAGGAATCATCTGAAAAACATGATCCTTTACTACCCATGATAGCTACATGGTTTATGGAGACTTGAGTTAATATGAACTCGCATCCTCATATCGGTGCTCAATACTACTCCCAAAAATATACTTAGCTCATATGTTTTAAGACAAAACTTCTTTCTTTGGTTTGAGATAATTACTGAAAAACTTAGCTTAAAAGCTCTCTTGGAAATCGGTGTTTCCCTTTCTTGTTTAAATGTGAAAACATTTTAAACTCTTGGGAATACTTGGTTCCCTTATGTCACGCCCCGAGCCTACACCCTGGACGTGGCCGGCACTCGGAGACCATTGCTGGCCCCAAGCGAACCCTTGTTCTGGCTTACTTAACTCAACGGAAGACTTAACTCAACAAAATAAACTCATGTAATAGTTTAAATGATAACATCTTAGCCAAATTGGCAACTTCTGTCTTAAAACAAAGTATCTGCAAACACATAGATGAGAGACTCATAACTACTGTCTGACTGTCTATGAAGCCTCTATAATACTAAGATGGACATTGGGACAAACCCCACAACATCCTAATAAAGAAAAACTAGGAAAGCGAATAAATAAGTCCTTAGGAATGCAAGGAGGCTCACCACTGACTCTGGAGTGCTCGACTAGATCAACGACGTGCTAAATGCTGATCATGATTACCTGCGTCTACATCATAATAAGATGTAGGCCAATTGACATCAGTACATTGAATATACGAGTATGCGAGTTGAAATGCTAAACAACAACTTACGCTTGAAAGGAGTAAGAAGGAACACTTACCTTGGCTCTGTACAACTCATAAGTAACTGAACTCAATATAAAGCAATAAGACACATGCAATATATATATATAAAGCTTGTAAAACAGTGTAAAAAACTTAGTTAGTTAAAGATAAAGCAATAACAAACTCAACTTTACTTATATATATAAAAGTAATATAACTTTTGTGGGAGATTCTTTAACTGACAACCACCACTATGAGCCCTATTGATGGTACAACATTTTACCTCACGTTGCACAAGGACCATCCTATACCTCGCCGTGATATAGGACCTTACTTAACTTAGTGGATCCACTAGCTTAACTTACGTGATCATCTAAAAGTATGACCCGTTAAATCCCTTGTTGGCTACATGGTTCTTATGGAGAATTGAGTTAATATGAACTCGTGTCCCCAATTCGGTGCTCAATACTACTCCCAAAATATACTTTAGCTCATATGTGTTTTAGACACCTCTTTCTTTAGTTTGATATAATTGCTCAAAGTTTAGCCCAAAGGCTCTCTTGGAATCGATGTTCCCCTTTTCTTGCTCAAATGTGAAAACATTTATAAACTTCTTTGGGAATACTTAGTTCCCTAATAAATTTTGAGAAATGAACTCAACTCTTTACTTTTTACTTTACTGGAAACTTGAGCCTTAAAACGAAGTTTAAATGTTTAATAAAGACTCTTGTAAACTTTAAGAAACTTTGTTTTGACTTGCTTCTTAACTTCTAGACTTGACTCTTAACTTCTTTGACGTTGATCTTAACTTTCCTTGAATTGGATTATGGATTCAAGGTTCACGATCTCATGTTTATGGATGATTTCATGATGTTTAGATGTACCTTAGAGTGTTGGAATCAACTAGAAAACATAGGTGCATCGCTTAGAAACTAGTACAAAAAGATGGGGGAAGAATGGGGTGAACTGGCGTCCTTGGCGCTCGGAGAGATGTGGGGCGCACTGGCTGGCGCGGTGCCCCAAGGCCAAAACTTCAGAGGCTGCTTTGGCGTGCCCTGGCTGGCCCGGCGCCCCAACCCCGATGCCCAGGTTTTCTCAATTTTTCTTCTTCATATTTCATCTCTAAACCCTCAAATCTTCCCTAGTTCTTTCCCCAAAAACTTAGGATCAATTTTACCCTCAATACACAACCAATATAACTCGAAAAACAGCCCGGAACATGAATCAACTCAACCCCCAAGCATCAACAACTCAACCAACAAGAATTTGACAATGTTCTTCAAGACTTCTCTTTCTTAACATTCAAACAACTCGAAATAGCTGAATTGAAACAAGTTGGTGTGTGGGTGAACTAACCCAACACGAAAAGATCTCACATACCTTAATAGGGATCACCCCCGACGAATTCCACTCACAAGTTTGGATGATCTTGACGAATTCTTGCCTTTTTCTCCCGTTCTTTCTTCCTTTCTCTCTTCTCCAAGCCCTAAGCGTTCTTTAATTTTTCCAAAACTGATTTAGGTTCTGTTTTTTACCCCCAATAAACCCCTAAAATCAAATTAGGAAATAACTTAGAGGAAAGACTACTTTGCCCTTCCCTAAATCCGGATTGGGACCTCCCTCAATACAACAACCCAACTTCCGAAAGGCATATCTCACACATACGATGTCGAAATCGTGTAATCTTGGCGGAGTTGGAAAGATCTCTCCAAGGGATTTCCAACCATATCAAGATCTGCTCCGAACTCATCCTGAGCTAGTAGTTATGGCCGTTTGAAAATGACCAAAACTCACTTTCTTAACTTAGACAAAATTTCCAGATTTCCTTATTCTTTCCAAAAATCAATATTTTCATATTTTAAACTCTTTATAGTCGTTTCTAGATGCGAGATGTTACACCTTATAGTTTTTGGAGAAATGAACTCAACTCTTTACTATTTTCTTAATTCAAAACGTAGTCTTAAAACAAAGTTTAAACGTTTGTGAAAAACTTTTGAAAACTTTATAAACTCCTCTTGACTTAACTCTTAACCTCTTGACTTGACTCTTAACTTTCCTTGAATTGAATTTATGGATCAAGGGTTGTGATTTGTGATAGGAAAGATCTCATGATGTTTAGGAGTGTTTTTAGATAGCTAAACATGAGAAAAGATCAAGAAATCACCGTCTGGAAACTAGTCCGCGACATGGAGATGTATTTTAATTTTTGATCGTGAAATTAAATTTTGAGACAGAGGAGTCCGCGTCCTTACCACGACGTGGAGGTAATTTTTGTACACTGGGGGAGCAAGTCCGCGACTTGCATGCCAAAAGTTGCTCGACTTTTTCCTTTTTCGTTTTCTCACCCCAATTCGCCTAAATCCGATTCGTTTTCTCAATCCCTTTATAGATTCAAATGCCTAGTATATATACACACAAATCTCACTCAAAACAACTCTTAAAACGACACAATTCCATCAAGAACTCCACAATACCATGAAATCTCCAGAACTAAAGCAAACTTCAAGAACATAATTCAAGAACATCATCCTTTCAACTTTCTAAAAACGAATTTCGCTGATAGAAACATGATTGGCGCGTGGGTGAATGAACCCAATGCTATGAGAGTCTCACATACCTTGTAGGATTGAATCCTTGGTGAATTCCACAACCAAAATCGCAAGAACTTGACGAATCTTGAGCTTCTCTTCTCATTTCTCCATTTTTCTCTTCTCTCAAAGCCCTAGCATATTTCTTAACTGCGTAAACTGAACTAGCTCAGTTTAGACACCAATTAAACTTCTAAAAACGAAATAAATTAATTGAGTATGGAAAAGACCATAATACCCTCCTAAAATCCGGATTAGACTTTCCTTAATTGAACAACCCAACTTTAAATGGGCATATCTCACTCATACAAACTCGGAATTACGTAAACTAGGCGGCGTTGAAAAGATTATTCCAAGATATTTCCTACGATACCTAGAAACACACCTAACTCATCCCGAGCTAGGAGTTATGGTTTCTTGAAGTTGGCCAAAAATTCAACTTAACATACTTGACAAATTTTCCAAATTTTTATATTCTTTCCAAAAATAACTATTTCAAAATTTTAAATTCTTTCTAGTTACGGGGTGTAATAGTAAACCACATTTATAGTCATTAGTCAAAGGGTCCAATCTGAACCCCAACACAGGGCATCGTGGATTATGGGTGCAACAAGAGGGAGAAGGAGGGGTCTCACCTCCCAAGTAGCATGATTCCACAATGTACACGAAATCGTACCATCAATTGGATTGTGATTGTGGCTTGATGAATGGATCGGGTGTTATGTTCTGACACACTAACTAGGATCGATTGCCACGTATGGGCATAAGCATTGGAACGGGAGTCACGGTCCGACACACTAACTTGGATCAGGTACCACGTATCGGTACGCTAATAGTTTGGGTGTGGGTTCCGTGATAGGACCAATGACTTGACATAATTATATATCTTGAGATTGTGAAATTGTACGTTGTTCGTAAGTGATCATCGATATTGTATATGTTCGGTGTATTCATGTTTAATATTATTGTAATGACTTATATATGTTTCACCTATTTGGGATAGCCGCGTGATCCTACCAGTACACTGTGGTTGTGTACTGATACTGCACTTGATCTTTCTTTCTTGAGTACAGGGCATCTTCAGGCTGCTATTGACAGACCTCACCTAGAAGAACAGTGATCAATTGAATTCAAAGGTGAGTCAGTTCTTCCGGGCTTCCATGAGTTCTCTTTTTGTTTATGTCCACATTTTTGGACTTAGAATAGTGCTTTAGATTCCTTGTGTTAGTTTAGGGTTGTACCCCTTCTTGTTTAGACTTATGGTTCTTGTTAGAGTTTGGGTACATTGACTTTCAGGTTCTAGGCATTATTTCCGCATTTGTTTTGTTAGACTTTTGGAGTTTATGGGAACTCTATTTTTCTTTAGCATTTAAACCTGCTTCTGTAACTTTAAATGCCTTATTTTTGGTTGAGTTGTTTAGTTTGGGTTGTAGTAATGGTTCTCCCACCAGAGGATTAGTGTGGGTGCCAATCACGACGGTCTGGGTTATGACAAAATGTCACAACCAATAAAATATTTTTGTTTATTATTTGGCAAAGTCATCTTTTTAACCTAATACTTTGATTTTCAAATAACTAAAAATGACTCTCATATTATCTACGTGTTTACTCTTATTGAGAAAATTAACTATTAAATAATAAACCTCTAAATAAGAATTAATATAATTTAATTATTTGTTATGTAAGATCAAGAGCCTATTTAGAATGAATTCAAACTCTATTCATCTAATTAAATTGAGCAATAAAATCAATTTCTTACCATTTTCTACCCTATGATAATCTCATAAAATTTATGAACTTTCCAATACACTGTGACATTCAAATATTATTCTTTTTATAAAACATTATGAAATTATTATAAACATACCATTGTGTGGATATTCATTCCATAATTTCTTAGATACGCTTGCAATTCGATAAGAATGTAGTTGGATAATCTTATAATTGAATAAACTTCTAGTTGGTTAAGCTTGCACAAACAGACAACTATCTATAAATAGGAAGAACATTCAGTTCATTTGTACATCAATTACTCTCTTTATTCATAAATTTCTCAAAATATCATTTACCAATGAATTCTCCAAAACTAGAGCTTATCAGGTGAGTTTCTATTCGATGCCCTTTTTGTTTCTTCTTTTTTGTCTTTTTTTTATAACCACCTTGACATGTTATGCTACTTTCAATTTTCAGCAAGATCAAGGAAGCAAGAAAAACAGTGGATTTTAAAAGGAAAATGATCTTCTTAGAATATGATTTGCAGTGTGAATTGATGGAGAGAACAACTAGATCTGCTACTATCGAAGAACATCATGAACTTCACAAAAAGTTTCTTGCAGACTGTGACCAATTGACGGCAGAGGTTAATTTAAATTTTACCAAGTATGAATTCATGAAATGTTCTAGTAAATTGATTATTAACTTTATCCAGCCTTTTTCTTTTGCAGTGTCAAAAGTGGTTAAAATCATGATGCGCTAATGTTTTGGAACTCATTAGTGAAAATCATGTCGAAAAATGAGTAGAAAACAAGCTCAAATCACCATTTTCTTAAAAATCTATGTTCAAGGGAAACAAGCAAAGTTTAAATTCAAAATAGAGGATTAGATGATAAAATCAAGGAATAATCAATGGGTAATAAAGGTGGGGAGTTAAAATCGCTTACCCAATCGATGAATCTTGAAAAATCCCTATAAAATTGCATCCCAAGAGTTCTTAATGATAAAAAAATGTGAGATGGGGAAGAAACCTCAATTTTTGAATTCAATAAACTCCCAAATCTCTTACTCTACACGATCACAACTAAACCCACGCCATTGCAAAGAGGAAAATTTGGTCAACTCATTTAATGACCTTTGAGATTGAGATGAGGTATGATGCGATCATGATGCTTAGGACATTATTATTATGTGATCTTGATACCCTCCACGCGATCGCGAATCTTAGGGAAACACACTTACGCAATCGTGACTCAAGAGCCACATGATCGCGAAAAAGGCCTATCAGACATCAAATACAACAACAATAATTCACTAAGACACAAAATTCACTTAAAGGATCGTCGGGATATGTTCGAAATCTCGAGCACAAAAACTAGATATGCTACTCAACTAATTCGATGTGCTGAACTCAATGGAACCATTGAGACATGGATTTGAGGTCTCCTTAACCCGAAACTCGTTGAAGTGTTAATAAACTAACTTATGTCAAAATATGCCAAACTACTTTCAGAATCTCTGAAAATTGAAGCAAGACCTCACCTAGGCCTAAAATCATCTCCCGAGTCCAATGGTGTCATCGGATATCCATCCTAGCGTCCGAACTCCAAACATTGACCAAAGTCAACTCTTAGCCTAAATACACTTAAACTTCCAACTAAAGATCTCAAATCTACATAAAAACTTTGAAACTGAGAACGATAACACTCCTGGACCAAATTTCGTATTCTGCAGCTAATGGATCTAAAAAAATTCCATTCAAAGGCTCGTAGGTCCGGTTATTGACAAAAAACACTTTTAATAACTTAAAGCCTCTCAAATTCTAAAACTTCTAAAAACCACAATTTTGTTATCCGATTTCAAAAACCAAACCTGATTGATGATGATTAGGTCATAGTCGATGAAGTTGATGAAGAGGAGTTAGATGATGTTAGTACGTTGCTCATTGCAGTGGATGGAGCCACAAATATGACAGATGAAAATGTTGAGGATGACGGTGACGAGCCCTAGAGGCCCAGGGAGTTCTTTCTTTCACTCTTTACTTATGATTTTAATTGCAGCACTAGGAAATGTTCTTTGTCTAAGTTTAGGGTAGGAGATTAATATCCAAGATTGTTGTTTACTGCTTTATCGAGTGTTTTTATTTTTTACAATGGGTTCCTCAACTTTTGTTTTTCGTTCTATTCCCGAGGATAGTCCATCGAACCAAGTAGAGTTTTTGTGTCTTGTCTGGTAAGTCATTATAGAAGTGATTGTTCCCGATGATGGATGGATGACTACCATCTTAACGGAAAATTAGTCATAGGTTGATAGTGTAAAAAAATTGACCTTTGGTACTTTGAAGCCCCGGTTGGAAGCTAGCCAGACGTCATGGGTAGTTCATCGTTAATCATGTAGACCAAAGAAGTAACTCTTGAGAGATAAATAAGTTCTTTAATTGGGTTCTAAATAGAGAGAAATCAGGCTTAATTGTGTATGTGCACTCAATATGTTTATGTGTGAGCATACAATATTTGTATCCCTGTATATGCATCATGGTTCCATGTGTGGTGAGTTTTTTATTAGCTTCTTGCATAGAATAGCATCTAGAACTTGCCCTGTGTTTATTGTGACAAATTTACTTGCATGAACATGATTTAGGCATTTCCTTGTATTGCCCATTCAATTTTATTATTATTCCTCCTTGACATCATCCCTAGTAAAGCCCATTTGGAGCATTGTAGCATGTTTCTTTGTTAGGCGCATGATGAATCTAATCCATTTTTTGATACTCTCTCTCAATTCGATCCAAACAATGTTTTGTAATGCACTATGTGGTGAAGAAAGGGTTGAATCAAAAACAGTGCAGCTAAAAAGGGAAAAGGCAAGTGTAGTAAAGAAGAGAGTTGGTGAAAAGAGCTCATAAATTAAATTTCAAAGTGTTTGTTGCATATGGAAAAAAAGAATGATGATATAGTAAGATAAATAAAGTGATATCCTAGCAAGAGTACCAAAGTGCGGAAACCAAAAGATAAAAAGGAAGTTCAAAGGGTGTGAGCAAAGGAGAGAAGTAAGGTAAAATTAAAGAGGGAAAAATGGTGAAGTGTCGTGTTGTGAAACAAGTGCATCAGGGAAGTAAGTCACTATATATATCCAAAAGTATTCTCCCTGTCCTGAAACCGAAATTAAAACCAAATAAATTCCTATTGATTCCATGATGGAATGTATATTTCAATGTAACTATACACTAAGGGCATGCCTATGGCATGTTTTGATATTTAGAAACATCTCTTGTGAGAGTGGGCACCTATTTTCTGAAATATAGTCCCTTTAAATTTGAATGCTTGTGAAAATGAAAGTGTAATGAGAGAAGGGATTTACCAAAATACTGAGAGCACTCGTGAAACATGCTTCGGTTTATTGTTGTTTGTGTTGTTCATGCATGATCACATTGGCTTGGTAAATTTGTAAGGATTCCATTATTCAGGTTATGTTGTGTCTTGTGGAGTACCTTGGTGCTAAGAAAAGGTGTATTATTGCATTAGAGGTGAACTGCAAAAACATGACTAAAAGATTTTGGTTGACGCAAGTGTGGGTGGACAAATTCTTAGGTGTTGATGGTGAAGTGAGAGCAATTATGTAAAGAGTTATTCGAGGAAAAACATAGATTTAAGTGTGGGTGGTGATTTTAGGTATATTTATATGCCCATTTACTGTATTTTGCCCGCATGCACCTTTAGTTTTAAGATCATTTTATTCTTATTGTTATTATTCGATTGATATTGCGATGATTATGCACTAAGACGTGCGATTAGAAAAGTAGGGAATTCGAAGTAAAATCAAGCACTTGGGAGATAAAGCAGAGGAGGAAAGCGTGGATGCAACCCGAAGGACAATGCAAAAAAATACGCAAGAAACATCTCGGTAGGGGTGCACTGCAGGCGCATCGCCCCATACCCAAAACTTTTGTTGCACCCTTCCACTCAACTCTAGGAACTCCATGCATCACTAAAGTCACAGTCTTAGCATTACAATCAAGAATAAAATGATGAGGAGAGAGCCAATCTATACCCAAGTTGACATTGAAATCTATCATCCCAATATGATCAAGTCTACCCAAGTGTCATACCCCAGCAAAGTAACAAGAAAGGATCAATATAATTGATCCACCACTAAGGGTTCACCCACGGGTGTAGAAACATGAATCGACACAAACATAAGATCACGCATGAAAATATACGTTCCTCATTAGTCGAATACCGTTTGAGATATTTAGGATGGTCCTATGTGCAAAAGGATTGTGGTCAATTTTTTCAAAATAATTCTAGAATAAGACTTATTTATGTTCATGAGTATCATTCAAGGACAAATGATCCTAAGGGAGACACAATAATACATCATACCTTCATACTAATATTAGACTCGTTGAATATGTTTAACCCAACTCAAACTACGAGAATACAATAATACTTCTGTGCAAAAGACTTATTATGAAGTATTATTATCATTACACATGATATATAACTTATGGAACATAAAATTAATCTAGATAAGGTATGACAAGATTTAGTTGATTGAACTAAAGATCAGACTTCATGTGTTTACATGGTGGTTATATCGGTTACACTAAGAACATCCCATAATAAACCAAATTATGATGAAAGATGCTAATGTTGAAGTCAATCTAAAGACTGGATGTTTTTTTATTACTTTCCATTTCATATTTATTCTCCTATTTTTTTTGGGTAACTAATCCTTGTATTAATCACCAAGTGACTTTAATTACATAATCATAACCAAACAACACACCATGTTGGTTATCTCAAAAGTAAAACAAAAAACACTAATGTCCAAGCATACTAAGTCTATGGCTATCAACTAATTAAAATGATCAAAAGACTAAGCTATGCAATTCATACATCTTCAAATTGAATTGAATGTATATATATATAGGGTATTATGTATACATAATTGGCATTATATTTACAAATTTGATTATACGTATCAAAATATTTTTTACGAGAGTAATACATCTATCACAAGTACATATCAACAGTTGTGCAATATATTTATATATACTAATAATACATACAAATAAAATATAAGTAATGTATACATGTTTCATTTATCATGTAACAATAAACGTATACAATAAATTTTGAACCAAATAAAATAGTAAGAATTACGCAAATCCCATAGTGTTAAGAGCTAATTACATCATAGTCCTACTCTTTTCCAAATTACAAAAATTCCTTAAAACTTAAGTATTTTGGATAAATCACTCAACTTCCCGATACATCAAGTCTAGGTACATTATCTTTGTTGATACAAAACACAATTGTTTCGATACATTGCATTTTGATACATAGCGTCAGAGTGTTGTATCCGAGAAAAAGAGAGAGAGTGAGGAAAATAGAGGTTTTTGTACTTTTTTCAAATGGTAGGGAATTTGAGAGAATATGGTAAAATAAGTTGTGTACTTAGACAATCTTTTCTGTAAAGAAAAAATTATAAAAATCACTATTTTTCATATCTCATTCTTATTCTTGGATACATCACTCTTACGCGATGTATTGGGACGCGGTGTAACGGGATGTGATGTATCGAGACAGGTGTGTCTTGTATCAACAAACGTAATGTATCGGGATATTGAGCGATGTATTTAGTCAAGTGTATCTTGTGTCAATAACGGTAATGTATCGGGATGGAATGTATATGGATGTTGAGTGTTGTATCCGAAATCCTTAAATTTTAAAGAATTTTTCGTAATTTGAAAAAGAGTAGGGATAAGATGTAATTAACTAATATCGTGGAATTTATGTAATTTTTACTTTTATTTAGCACTTCTACCTAGGGGTGTTCACGGGTCGGTTTGGATCGGTTATTGATCAAACCCAAAATCAAACCAACTTAATCGGTTTTAAAATTATTAAAACCAAACTAAACTAAATATAATATATATTTATCGGTTTGGTTGTTATCAATTTCAGTTCAATTTGGTTTGATTATTCGATTGTTAACAATAGACAAAAATAAAAGAAACAATTCATTCAAAATGTGAAACAAGTGATTACAATCAATTCAAAACAAAAATAGTTAGAATGACTGACATAACATAACATAACTTTCAATCATTGAATTTACTATGAATAAAGCTTTAAAATTCATTATTTTGGCCTAGAAGGAAGAGACATTGACATTTTCAATCTCATAAAGAATTATCGTAGACACTCATATATATAAAATCAATAAGATAAATATCCTCACCTTGGACATTTTTGCTTTCATAAGTAAATTATATATAAATTTTAATGAAAACACACATAAGATCTCTAAAACTGTTTATAAAAATAATATATTATGTATGTATGATAATAAAATATATTTATATAATTTGTTGGCTCTGTTTGGTTTGGTTATTTCTTCGGGTTTTTCTAACAAAACCATAGTCAATTTAGGGGTGTTCACGGTTTGGATAAAAACCGATTCAAACCGAAAAAACTGAACCAAACCGATTAAATAAACAAATTTTATTTTGTTTAGGTGTGGTTTTGTCTTAGATTTTTAAAAACCGATATTATTTGGGTTGGTTATGGTTTTTTTGGGAAAACCCCCGAAAAAATAAGCAAACCAAACTGACAAATTATATAGATATATTTTATTATTATACATACATAATATATTATTTTTATAAACAATTTTAAAGATCTTATATGTGGTTTCATCAAAATTTATTTATAAAAGCAAATATGTCAAGGTGAGAATATTTATCATATTGGTTTCACATATATGAGTGTCTGTGAGACTGTGACAATTCTTTATGAGATTGACAATGTCACTGTCTCTTCCTTCTAGGCCAAAATAATGAATTTTTGAAGTTATGTAATGTCAATCATTCTAACTATTTTTATTTTGAATTGATTGTTGTTAGTTTTTTCACGTTTTGAATGAATTGTTTCTTTCATTTTTGTCTATCGTTGATAACCGAACCGAAATTGATAACAAACAAACTGATAAATACATATTATATT